TTGTAAGATATTATAGAAAAAAACTAAATAAGTGGAAACATATTTCATGGGCATGGATTGGAACACTTTATTGCTATTAGTAAGATTACAGTTCTCACCAAACTGATTTTCACATTCGGCTCAATCACTGTGAAAATCCTAGCTGGTATTTTTTTTTCCTTTGGCAGAAATTGACAAATCCTGAAATTTATGTAGAAATGCAAAGGACCTCGAATAGTGCTAACAATTTAGAAAAAGTAAAAACATTGGAGTGGCTTCTTAATTTCAGAGCTTACCAAAACTTGCTGCGAGACAATAAAACATTCACATGTAAATAGACATTCCACTTCACGGATCAAAAGACTTAATATTGTTAAAATGTTCATACTTTACAATCTACAGTCTCTACACAAGTACTATCAAAATCCCAATAGCATTTTTTCAGAATTAGACAAATTAATCCTAAAATTTATTAATATATGGGATTCCCAAGGGACCCCAAATCATAAAACAATTTTGAAAAAGAACAAAGTTAGAGTCTTCGTACTTCCTTATTTCAAACATATTGCAAAGAACAGTAGTCACAACAGTGTGGTACTAACGTAAAAACAGACAAATGGACCAATGGAATATAACAGAAAGCCCAGAGGTAAACCCTCAAATAATCTTTAACAATGATGCAAGATCACTCAATGGCGAAATGACAGACGCAACTAGTGATATTGGGAATAAATATCTTTATGCAAAAGAAAGACATTGGACCCTTATACAGTATATACAAATTATCTCAAAATGTACTAAAGACTGAAATATAATCCTAAAGCTGTACAATTCTTAGAAAAAAAAACAAGAAATGTGTCATGATAGTGTATTGGCAATCATTTCTTAGATATGACATCATAAATACAGGTAACAAAGCAAAAATTAGATTATATCAAACTTAAAAAAATTTTCATATCTCAAAACATAGGAGAATATAAAGACAACCTATGGGATAGGAGAAAATATTTATAATTCATATATCTGTAAGAGGTTAATATCCAGACTATGTAAAGAACTCCTACATCTCTACATCTAAAAACCAAATATTCTGATTTTTAAAGAGGCAAAGTACTTTAATAGACATTTATTTAAAGATGGTATATAAATGTTCACAAGCATATTAAAACATACTCAGTATTCTTGAAATGTAAATGAAAACCACAGTCAGGTATCACCTAATACTGTTAAGGATAGTTACTATTACAATAGTGTTAACATTAGTGTGAAACAGTACCAAACTTAAAATTGTTTAAAATTATTAAGATGGTAAAGTCTTAATACAAAGCTATGTTAATCATGAGAGTATGTAAAGTTTGACATCTAGATCACTGTAATAAAATCAGTTGTTTAAATAAATCCTTATATTTGTGATTAGTTGATTTTAAACAAGGATTTTAAAGCAATTTGATAAGGGTAAGAATAGTCTTTTCATAAACGGTGCTGTAACAACTGAAAAAGAATGAAGAAAAGAATCAAGTTGAGTTTCTACTTCCTATAAAAATGTACTCTATGGATCAAATATCTAAATGTCTACTGCAAAACTCTTAGAAAACATAGGAATAAATCTTTGTGATATTGGCTTAGGCAGTGATTTCTTAGATGTGACACAATATACACAAGTAACAAAAGAAAATATAGAAGAGTTAAGTTTCATCTGTTTAAAACTGTTTGTACTTCAAAGGACATCATCAAGAAAGTGAAAGAAAAAATTGTGAAAAGACACCCACAGAATGGGAGGAAATATTTTCAAAGTACATATCTTATATGGAGCTTATATTCAGAAGATATAAAGAAGTCTTACATCTCAACAATAAAAATAGAAATATCCCAATAAGAAAAGGGAGTAGGATTTTTTTTTAAGTTTCAAAACAAAGTTTATTAGATAAAGGAGAGAGGAAAGAAAGGGAGATGGGCCAGAATTGGGTGGCATGGGTGAGAGAAACCTCTAGAAATGGGAATAGGATTTTTTTTTTTTTTTGAGTTGGAGTCTCACTCTGTCACCCAGACTGGAGTGCAGTGGCCGCTCCCGGCCACCGCAGCCTCGCCTGCTGGGCTCCTGCAATCCTTCCGCCTCAGCCTTCCAAGTAGCCGGAATTACAGGCATGCGCTACAACGCCCGGCTGATTTTTTGATTTATTGTAGAGATGAGGTTTCGCTGCCCAGCGGGTCTTGAACCGACTCAGGTAATCCACTCACCTCAGCCTCCCAGGGAATAGGATTTTAAAAGACATTTCTCTAAAGAAGATATACAAGTGGCTAATAAGCACATGAGTAGATGCTGAGGATCATTCATTAGTCATTAGGTAAATGCAAATTAAAGCCACTGGGTACCAGTTCTTACCCATAACAATGGCTAAAATAAACAGAACACATGTTTGCGAGGTTGTAGAGAAATTGGAACCTCATACACTGCCAGTAAGAATGTAAAATGGTATAGCCAGTTTGGAAATTAGTCTGGCAGTTCCTCCAGTGAAAAAACAGAGTTAACACAGGACTCAAAAATTCCTCTCCTGAGTATACCTGGAGGGATGAAAACATGTCCACATAAAAACTTGTACATCAATATTCCTAGTAGCATTATTTACAATAGAAGTAGAAGTAGTCCAAATAGCCATCAATTTATGACGAGATCAGGAACGTTCAGGGTGGTATGGCTGTAGACAGCCATCAGTTTATGAATAGAGAAACAAAATTTGATGTAACTGTATAGTAATAGAATGTTATTTACAAATAAAAGGACATTAAATTTTCATTCATGCTACAACATGGATGAACCTTTAAAGCATTAGATAAAAGAAATTAGCCACAAAAGGTAATATGTTCTATAATTCCATTTATATGAAATGTTCTGAGAGACAAAACCATATAAATAAAATAGGTTAGTGGTTGTCAGGTGGTCTGTGGTGAGGCTGGTAGGAGAGATTTGGGGAATGATTGCTGGTGGATACAGAGTTTCTTTTGTGAGTGGTTAAATGGTCTGAATTTAGATAGTGCTGATGGTCGCATAACTTTATCAATTATACTTCAATCAATTGGTTAGTTTTTAAAAGTTATAGTGAGCTGACACTTCTCATAAACAAAATCAAGACACTCATTTTTTAAGAGAGAAATTTTATTTTCCTTCCTGTAGTCATATTTTTAGTCTGCTTTTATATAGAAGTTTATGAATAACAAAGAATTGATTTTTCAAATGTTATAAGTATTTGAATTTTCCAGATCACATATCAAGAAGTAGTTTTGGTGATTAACTGATGATTGAATTAAGTCTTCCTTTAATTTTGTTAAAAGCAAAGAGTTGGAACCTGCTGATTTGGAAAATAATTTATTCACTAGTTATTATTCATTCATTTTCTCAGATCCTAAGAACATCCAAAACAGCCTTGCCAAATTATATTGTAATGACTGTTGATTGTACTTGTTACTTTTTACCTTGAGACACCTTGACCTGATACACTTGAAAAGCTTTGGGAAAAATTCCCGAGTTATTGTCTTTTTCAATATAGTGTTATAAAACAATATTTTTCATTAAAGTTCCTTTCTGTGCTTTAAATAAATTTTAATCAAAACTTTTGAACTCCAGATTTAATTTATTTAACTTATGGGAAATATCTACCAAAGAAGTTACCTAGCAAGGCCAGTTTTCATTGCCAGACTATTTTTCCATTCTTTCCATGTACCTTCTTTGCTGATGGAAGAGACAAGTCTTTAACAACTTTAAAATATATATATTCACTGTTAATATTTAGATAGTTTCAGTGGGACAATTATTTCATTTTGTAAAACAGGAGAAGGGTAGCTGTAAAAGGGGTGGTGGGTAGCGTTTACTCTTAAGACACATGGGGTATGATCTGTGTTTTTGAAGTTGAGGTTCTCTATATGTATTCTCTTAAAACTATGACTGGACTGTGCATCCCTTTTAAAGTCACTTATTTATTTATGGAGTCGGAGGCTCACTCTGTTGCCCAAGGTAGGTTACTGTAGTGTCATGATCACAGCCCATTGCAGCGTCGATTTCTCAAGCTCAGGCAATTCTTCTGCCTCAGCTTCTTGAGTAGACTACAGGCACGTGCTGCTGCACCAGCTAATTTTTTTTATTTTTATTATATTTTTTGTAGAGATGGGTTTTCACTATATTGCCCAAGCTGGTCTCAAACTTCTGGGCTCAATCAATCCCCCCCACCCCCAGAGTGTTGGGATTACAGGTGTGAACCACTGCACCTGGCCCCTTTTAAAGTCTATATGTCCAGGAATATGCTTCTTCATTTTGAATACTGCTATTCTGCCCTACTCTTAGTCTTTTGTGAATGAATAAAATAGCCTTGAAAAGCATACATTTATTCATAAGAGTATTGTGCACAGGCATATTAATATGTTGGTACACTTTGTATTTGTACCACATTTTGCTGGGATGCCACACCTGTGCCACATCCCTCTCTTGTAATGGCATCTGGCCCTATTCAAGTTGATCTGTGAGAATTAGGGCTCAAGGAACTGGAGCAAGATAATGCTTATATTCTGGCTACTCCTGTTATTGGGAGTGATAAATACCTGTGCCTTTCACCCAGGAGTCTTATTTCCTCTGCCAGCATCTATTAGATTGTGACAGGCTAACTGGGTAGTTTGAAAGTAGGGCAAATCTCAGATTCTTCACAGTTCTTGACAGTCTGTAGGAAATACAAATAAACACATAAACAAGTTCAGCTCAGAAATTTCAGTTTTATCCATGTTTTTCATGAAAACTATATTATTTATGTAAATATAGCATAGGTTTTTCAGATTTTTTTCTATGTTAAAATAAGTGTTTGGCATAATTTTGTTATTTACATTTAATGAGAATTTTAAAAACATAAGAAGCCATGTTTTTATGCATTAAAATTGTATGTATACACGTGTATTTGTACATATATGCACGTATAGTCATGCTTTCAAAACTGTGTTCTACAAATGTCATTATGATGTATTATTTGCCTCTATTCTAGAATATTGGAAAGAAGATGACCTGCCAAGAGTTCATTGCAAATCTCCAAGGAGTAAATGAGGGTGTTGATTTTTCCAAGGATCTGCTGAAAGTAAGCATTGAACTATTGGTTTTTAATGTATGCGTACGTTTGTGTTTACCGCTGATCTCTAATCCAGAATAGGTTAAGGATCACCTAAGGATTTTGTTTTTTGCTTCTGACTTTATTGGTGGTATTTCTGTTGGACCTTGTCCCTGATGCTTCATACTGCAAAGTACTCTTAAGTTAATAATTTCTAAAAGTCCACATTGTCATCAACAATACTGAGATAATAAGTAGATTTGGAATGGTTGGTGGTACAGATAGTTAGTGGGCAGTTTTTGTGTGATTTATTTGTGTGTAGACCATCAGAACTTGAAGAAGATCACAAAGCTATCTTCACTATGGAAACAAAGCATTTAGTGTAATAGAAGATGTTCGGTCTATGTTCAGTCCCTAGTCACAGAGCCACTCAGGTTGTTTCTGGAAATAGATTAAATTAAATTCTGAGTAATTGTAGGATGCCTAAATTATTTGCACTTGGCTTTATGATTGGTAACAGTCAGCATGTTTTTCCCTATCATCAGATTGTCAGGAGACAACAAAATCAACTTCAGAATTTATACATTCTACAGCATTGTAATGAGATGTGCATTTGATCAAGTACAAAATAATGATAATGAATACGAATATTTTAGAAGTTGTAGGGTAAGATGTGTACATTGAGAATGTGATTTTACAGATTACTGTTTGATTCTAGCCTTCTTTTTAAGAAACTTAGTACACTTATAGTTTTCTTCTGAAATCATTTTCTTTACATGAATTTGCTAAGAAAGGTGATACATTTGAATCATGTTATAATGTGGATATGTAAAAATTCTTTGTTTTGTTTTATGTAACTTTATTTTTTTATTTCAAAGATGTGGGGTACAATTCAGGATTAGGTATACAAGTGGTCATCATATATGTTTTTTGTAACTTTTAATCTGTATAGAGTTCTGCCAGATTTGCAAAGAAATTATTCCATGAAAAATGAAAGAAGGAATTAAGATATGGTATTGTCACATCCTTCATCTTATTGACTTTATTAGAAGCTCATTTAAAAGTTATGAAAAAAGCAGGAAGAAAGTTTCAGTTTACTGTATAAAGAAGGTATCTTTTTAGGTTGTTTTCATATAAAGCAAGTGCTGCCATTTCTGAAGCTACAACTCCAAATAAGAGTGGGAGATAAAAGGTGCAAGATCATGACATGATAAATCCAATATGTTATGTGTACATTGAGGCCATACAACGTTAAGAAGTCTTTTTTCAGTCTGGTGATATTTGCTTGGAAAATAATGGAGTCTCTCCAAGAGAGAATTTGTGAGGCTTTTATCAACTTATGTCAGAAATGAAAATTGACAGGAAAATTTTCCTAGTGAAGCTTTTAGATTTTAGTGGTAGGCTTATAGTAACCTCCATGACTGAGGGTAATTGTGTAGATTTAGAGCATGTTTGATGGAGCTGTCTGAAAGCAAGTGTGGTTAATGTACAGTTCAGTGGCTGCCATTCACCTTAGGTAAACATATGTTCTTTGACTTTGCCAAGAATTTGCCAGATGATTTGTTGCAGTTGTGCTATTGATATTATGTTTATAAACCTCAGGGGAAAAATATGTATTATATTATTCTTTGTTTACCGTGGAAAGATAACAGTGAAATGACACTGAAAATGACAGTGGCGGTTAGCATGGAAATTGTCAAATGACATATTGATTCCCTTTCATAAGAAACCCCAGCTGCTCATCCACCCTAGATGAGCATTTTCCATTTCAGTAAGAACAGTTTTTATTGCAGATTTTAACAAGAAAAAGTCTTCTTTAAACCATTTTTGTTTCATTTTACTCTTCTGTATGCTATTCCTTTCTCCTTCCCTTTTCTCCCTCTCCTCTTCTTCTTTCTGCCTTTCTGTTTCACTGCCTTTTCCTTTCTCTTCGGCTTTCTTGCTGATTTTCTTTTTGTCTCTTCTCTTTCTCTAAGGATAGCTATCTCTAGATTTCCTGCTGAGATAAATTATTGGATGGAATACCTATTTGAATTTTTTGGGAATACGATTGCATATCTGCCACACTGATACCTATATACATATAAACAAAAAGTGTGCTATCATCTTACAGGTTTCTAAGTAACCCTGTCCTCTTTTTCTCTACCCTCCTTTATAATCCTACAAAATTACAGGCACGCATGACATTCAGTTTATTTTATAAAGTAAGAAGAAAGATGACGTTTATTAGGTTTCTTCATAGAAACATAAAGAAATTACTTGATTCAATATTTTTAAAATGCTTAAAGTTACATTGATTGAACTAAGGCTTTTACTGTTACGTGTAGATCTTATTACTTTTAGATTACTTTGGATCAAAGGTAACATTTGGATTTATGTCTGTTCAGATTTCTTTGGGCCAGAAGTAACATTTGGATTTGTGTTTATTATTCATTGTGGTTGTGTAGTTGGTAATATTTATTGAAGGCCCACTGTATGCTCACCAGGTGTTGTGAGACTAGGAGAAGATGCTGAAAACAAATGGGCACCTGTCTTCAGACATCATAGACTACTGAGGAACATGGAGGGTTCGTTCTCCCTTAAAATGGACAGTTATTCCACATTGAAGAAAAGCATGGACTGAATTCTGCTTTTTCTGAACAGAAATGGTTGAGGAAAAAAATAGATCTTAACATATTTAAATGCATGAGAAATGAGAAACTTGTAATTCAGAGAATCCAGTGAATACTTTGCTTCCAAATTTGCCTTATACTATATTGAAGGGATAGATTATATATTGAGCTCTTTTTTGTAGTTTACAGTTTCACTGCAGTTTTCATTGTTGACTCAAATAACCTAAACAGAAATTTTAGTGCTTCGGCAAATAATTTTTTCCCCACAAATTTCTTAGAGTATAAGTTGTTTATATACACACATCTGTAATAAAAGTGAAATAAGTTGGGATACCTAAAAACAACCAGTGATAGTGTATTATTTAAATTCTTCAAAGCAGAATGCTGGGAGGGAGGTATCTTTGAAGTGAGTCTTTGAACTATAGGCAGAAGACTTATTTTTTTTATTTTTTATTTTTTTATTTATTTTTTATTGAGTATACTGTTAGGATTTTATTTAGGATATTATTTCATTTCCCACCTTGTCTTTTACTCATAAACATTCTCATATGTACTCCTTACTACATCACCAAATCAAGACAGCAATTCAGTCAACAAATATGCCAAACCATCTGGTATGTATTACATATATAACAGATAAACATGAAAAAGTTGGGTGTTATCTTAAAGGTTTCTGAATAACCTTTTTCTCATGTTTCTGTAGGGTCTGCCCATTCCACGAGTTGGATGTAGTTGGCATTCAAACTATATTGGGGACAACGTAATAAAGAAGGAGAAAGGGAAAGTTCTGCCTTGGGTTCAGATCGATTTAGTAAAACATTCCTTAGACTCCAATAAATATTATAATTACTAAGGACATGAATAGAGAGGGATGATAATGAGAATTGTGGGCCAACTCTGGGTTGCAGGCTGAACTCTTTGAGAGACAACATAGTGTAGTGATTGAGATTATGGACTTGAGAGTGGTACTGGCTGGGTTCTAACACCAGGTCCTTTCTGTTCAGGTCCATAGCCAGGGGATTATGGGCTAGTTCATTTAAATGTTGTCTCTCAATCACCTCATCTGTAAAATAAGAGATATTATTACCTACCTTATCTAGTTGTTTTAATAATTGAATGGGTTAGTATATAAAGGCCCTTTAGAGTCCTAGCATGTAATAAATGCTGTATGTTAGCTATTATAACTCTGTCTTTAATATTTTATTCTTCATCTAGCCCAAAGTGGGCTGGAATGGGACTCCATCTGTTTGTGCAGGTATTTGGGCTTAAGGTGTTTTAGAGCCAAGTGGGATTAATTCCAGCAATCAAGACCTCGATCCCCCTTCTCTGCTACTTTCTAAGGACATGTATCTTCTACTCTTTGAAAGGAACCATCTGTGACTTTGACCTGAAAATGAATCTTGCTTAAGTCTATATATTTTTTTTAACCATTTTACCTTGCCAACAGTTTCTGTCTCCCGAGCCTAGCCCTCTTTCCACATTTTTATCTCTTATATGTCTTAAGAGTCTTTAGCAACTTCTATCTTTGATGCTGCAAAAGTGGAGGTACTAAGATAGATTTGCTCTTGAACTGGTTCTGGAATTTTAAAGAACTTTTGAGGAAGGAAACTAATTATTATCCTTTTGAGATTCCAAGATAATCCTGGGATATTAACAGAGATGTGAATTATTTGAAGTGATTACAAAATCCCAGGTAAAAGAATAGTTGCTAGACATCTAACTACTTTGCAGATGGAGAAACCTAGATCAGAAGGATCAGGACCAGGAATTGCTAGTATTTCAGCTTTGTCTTGGGGCAGGTTTTGTAGACTACTGACTATGTACTGAGCCTGGTGACCTCTTTCACCCAGTCTCATCTGCGTCTGATACTAACTAGTGATGTGTTGGCTCGTCATTGTGTGCATGTTTTTGAAACTCTTTATAGAACCTTTGAAAATTCATAATAGCCCAGATACAGAGTCAAACTAAGTATTTATTAGTGGATGAATGGATAATGAAAGTGCAGTATATGTGCACAGTGGGATGCTATTCATCCTTTAAAAAGAGGGAAATTCTGTGTTTGTGACAATGCCAATAAACATGGAGGACATTATACTGAGTGAGATAAGTCAGGCATAGAAAGACATACTGCACGATCTTGCTTATATATGGAACCTGCAAGATTCAAGCTAGTAGAATGAAGAGAGTAGAATGTGGCTACCACAAAACAATAAGTATATGAGGCAGTGAATATGTTAATTTGATTAATTTAATCATTCTACAATGTATACATAAAACCAAAACATTACAATTTACATTGTAAATATATATATAATTTTTTATTTGCAATCGAAACATGAATTTATTTATTTAATTTTTAATTTTAAATATGTGGGGTGCACTTCATTGTTAGGTATACAAATGCTCATTATGCAGGTA